CATATATTAGAACATCACATTGTATCCATCAGTATATATAATTATTTGTCAATTAAACATAAAAAATAAAAATTGAGAAAATAAAGTATGGACATTATTTTTACTTAAAATGAATATTTCTACAATCGTACATATTAATGTATTTTAACTTCTCTACTGTTGGGCAGAGATTTTTTTTTTTCCTCCTCATTTTTTCACAGTTTCAACAAAATTGCAAAGAAAAGCCTCGTAGATAAATCCCTGGGCAGATCTTTTCTTTAAGTTAGATTCCTGAGAGAGGCTTTGCTATGTCAAATATTATAGTATGCATTTCTTAAAAATTTCCCTCCAGAATGCATGTACCAATATAGCATGTCTATTTCTGAACATCTACATTACCATGAAGCATGTTCTCTCCAAGGTATTCTGTCATTATCTTGAAAAATTATATCACAGTTTTAATTTGTGTCTGTTTCTGTGCTTTTGATTTTGGGCTTTATGAGAAGTGTAACAACGATAATATTTTTGAAATTTATTAATGTTCTTTTCCTTTTTGTACTTCCTTTTACATGATTCTTCTCCTATCCAGCCAGAGGCATCCAATGCTTTGGGGAAGCTTAGGACTGTTACAACAGAATGAAAAGAGAAAGGAAGACTCCATGTTTAGCTTTTGAATTTGAAAATAGGACTTCTGATCTGCATTAAGATAATTGTCTCAAAAGATAGACTCTTTTTTTTTTAAGTGAACTTTTGAATTGAGCATAATGTACTGACACAAAGTACACAATTGTGTATCTAGCTTGATGCACTTTTACAAAGTGGATGCACTAGTGTAGTCCCTGTCTGAATCAGGATCAAGAGCATTACCAGCACCCTACAAGTTTCTCTGCCCCTTTAATGATTAGTCCCTAGCAAAGTAACTAGTTAACCAACTTCATCACCCTAGATTCATTTTAACTCTTTTTGGAATTTATATAGAATGATTCGCCTAGTATGTGGTGATTCTTATCTAGATTCTTCCCTCAAAATTAGGTTTGTGAGATTTATCCAGGTTATTGTAGGTAGTATTAATTAGTTCCGTTCTACTCATATATAGTATTTAATTTTATAAATATACCTCAGTTTGTTTATTTTTAACATTTTGCCAGAGGGTATATGTACTTGCCAGAGTCAGAGAGAGAAATAGAAAGCACCTCCCCACGAGGCACTGCAATCCTTTCTCCTCCTCTTGAGGGATTTTGGGCATATTGCTTCCAGTGTGTTTTCCAAGTCTTGCATTAGGGACTCGCGCAGTTGGCCCTGTGGGATCTAGCAGCCTTAACCACTGTGCTACCAGCTGGCCCACCAAGAATTATTTTTCAATACCGTGGATGAAAATCCCAAGTGCCAATTCATACTACTGTGACATTTTTGTTCATTTTAGCTATGTTGTTGTGTGTTCAGTGGGATGTCATCGTGGTTTTAATTTGGGCTGCCTAGTGACGAATGATATGGATCATCCTTCCTATACTAACTGGCCATTTATATATTCTCTTTTGTAAAATGCCTATTCGAGTGGTTTTGTTGGTTGGTTTGTTCATCAAAATTGTTTTGTCTTGGGGCCGGCAGGTGGCATGGTGGTTAAGGCACTGGATTCCCACATAGCTGATTACAGTTCAAGTGTCAGATCTTATGGCTTGCTTTCTTACTTTCTCTTTGGTCAAATTAAATAATAATAAAAACAAATAAAATTAAATGAATGATTATCTTTTTTGGTTTTAGAGAGAGATTTTTGCTATAGGGCACATGTGCTCACTTGAGAGACAGAGAGAGAGACAGAAAGTGAGAAATCACTGCCTAGAGGGTATGGCCACATAACAATCCCTTCTCCTCCCTTTTCTTCTCAGGACCTTGGGCACATACACACACGATCCCAGAGTGAGTTTTAAGTTGCTGGGTCCAGGAATTGAACCAGGGTTGAATATGTGGAAGTCCAGCAATGTAACCATTACATCATCTGCTGGTCCCAAGTGAGTAATTCTTTTAAAAAAAATTGTTTTGTCTTGGGACCAGCAGTTGGTGTAATGGCCGCGTTGCTGGACTCCCATGTAGTTGACTATGGTTTGAGTCCCGGACCTGGTGGCTTAAACTTACTCTGGGTGTGTGTGCATGCATACCCAATATCCTGAGAGGAGAATGGAGGAGAAGGGATTGCAGCATGGCCATCCTCCTTGGGGGTGTGATTTCTCACTTTCTGTCTCTGTCTCTCTCTGTCTTTCTGGAAAGCACACGCACCCTAGAACAAAAACCTCTCCAAAAAAAAATTGTTTTGTCTTTTTTTCTTGTTGATTTGTAGGAGTTCTTTATATATTTGGATATAAATCCTTCATCATATATATGTGCGTGTGTGTGTGTGTGTGAATATATATGTATATATCTATCTATTAACTTTTATTATTGACTAAACTTTTTACTTTCTTTATTTAAGGATTATTTATTTAAGTTTATTTATTATTATTATTTAATTTCCTATAGGGTTCACATGTTCATCAGAGAGAGACAGAAAGAGAGGGAAAGTGAGAAAGTAAGCCACGAAGTCTGGGACTCCAATTGTGGTCAGCCAGATGGGAATCCAGTTTTTTGACTACCATGCCATCTGCTGGCCCACTTTTTACTTTTATTTTAGAGAAAGATTTTTGCTATAAGGTACATGCACTCGCCAGAGTGACAGACAGAGAGAGAGACAGAAAGCAAGAAATCACTCTCTGGGGGGGATGGCCATGCCACAATCCCTTCTCTATTCTCCTCTCCAGATTTTGGAGATGCATGCACGTGCACCTGGAGTGAGTTTTGAGGTAACAGGTCTAGGACTTGAACCATGATGGACTATGTGGGAGTCCAGAGATATAATCATTACGCCATCTGCTGGTCCTACACCTTTTACTTTCTTAATGGTGTCTTTTTATGAAAAAATTCTTATTTTATATTTATCAGGTTTTCTTTTAAGATTTATGCTTTTGAATTTTGTCTAAGTAATTTTTACTTGCCTCAAGGTCAAGAAGACATTCTCCTATGCCATCTCCTAAATTCTTTGTGGTTTTATTTTTTCACTTATGTCTAAAATCAATCCGGAGTTGATTTCTGTGTAGTGCAAGCGAGAGGGTCGAGATTACTTTTTTTTCTCTATGTGCATGCTTGACCCTTCACTGTTTGTTGACATGAGCTCTGAGCTGCCTTTTTCTTACTAGTCTCTCACCTAAACCTTTGACAAATTGGCAAATGCCTTGCGAGGAGAGGAGGGAGAAAAATCGAGCTCATCTCAGTGGTTTTCTATTTCTCTGGGATCTTGGTTCTTTAAAACCAGGATACCTTGACTGCTCTATGATGACTTTAGCCAACTGCTTTAAAACAACAACACCTTTATACGGTTTTTTGACAGGTATTTTTGGTGTGAAGTTTAGATTGATGTCTACAAGTCTAAGCTGGAGGCAGAAGTCCCAAAGTGCAAGGCTTTCTTATAAAAGAGAAAGATTTTCTAAATTTTATAAAGCTCTTGTTTGCATACAAATGGCCAGGTTTGATTTAATCTATGCATAATAGAGTTTTACTATAAATCATGGTGCAGAGAAGACAGAATATGATGAAAGAGATGTTCTCACCAGATAGGAGGAGGATATAGAAATCTCCCCACCAAGGGAGGAATGGGAATGTTTTTGAGGAGTAAAGGCAAGATGAAAATGTAGTCTGAGTTCCTCTGAGACCCTGTTCTTACCAACTCAAATGTTGGCTTAAGAATTTATGGAGATAATAATAGAGGAATCTTAGAATATTAAGTGAAAAAAAAATAAGCCACAAACCATACATACATTATAGGCCTTGATATGATATTCAAAGACAAGCAAAATGAAAAACTGCATTTTTATGGCACATATACTTATCTTGTAAATTCATACAAATAAGCAAAGGAATGACCAAAAAAAATCTTAACAAGGTGGTAACCACTTGAGAGAAGCGGGAAGGGGAGATTGGGAAGAGATTGATAATGATTCTGATTATATTTCACTTCTTATGTTGGTGGTGGATTCATGAGTGTTCGTTATTATGCTCTCTAACTTACCTATATGTTAGGTAGATTAGTTTTCATAGATCAAGTGTGTTGAGTTAAAAAAATGCAAAAAAATTATAAAAGGAATACTAGGTCTCAGTAGTGACTACTACAGAACTCTTTGGAATAAGACTAACCACCTCACTACAGATTTCAATGAATTCCAGTTGACTTCCTAATACCACACAGATCTGAAGCTCCCCTCTTTCCTTGCCTTCTGACAAGAGTCCCTCATAGACTCAGATGTCATCTTGGGGAGGTGCAAGGGAGGAGAAGTAATTTTAAAAATTTAACATTTGCCTAAGAGACTGGAGTATTCTCAAAAGAAAAGAGGTTTAGTTTAGTTTCTTCATTAGCAAGATTCTCCTAACTTAATCTGACGTCATCTGTGGAAATGCAGGTGCTCTGGGGCAAGCTGAGATCTGTCTCTGAATATAAAAGAAGCTTATTTTTATTTCCCATCACTGCAGTTGACTAGCTGAGTAAAAGTCTGACTGGTGGAAACTAATGCTTACATACTCTGTACAGAGTAGGAAGGGGTAGCTGTTGTCCTAGACCTAGATCCTCCATCCTGTCCTGATTTCAGGACCTGACAGTGGTCAGTTT